CAAACATGAACTTTGTAGGAACTTGAATTGATTTAGAGTCGATCATACTCTGTGATCTATCACAGAAAACAAAGAAGAGTACCATATGTCCTCACTCATAAGCAGAACTTGAACAATTATAATACTATAAGAAAGCAATTGGCAGTAGTGTGAGGAGTGGTAGGGGAGGGAGGGCCATACCTAATCAACAAGGGTACCTGCAAAATCAATGTTTGTATACCTAACCCTGAATTGTACCCCCACATCTTTATATATATATATAAAAGAACACTAGGATGATTTTAAGTAAACTTTTTAGGACTTTTTAGAATATTATAGTATAGAGTCATACACGTGAATATTTTTAGATTTTGAAAGAGCTGGGAATGGAATAAAACAATGGGAAAAATCTTTAATTCACATGGAATTTTAATAAGCTGAGGGATTTCTTCTCTCTAAAAGCATGCAGGGTGTTTTGCTTGTTACACTTTGCTGTCTTATTGATACTCAGGGTCATTGTAAGCAAACCTCTGTAATTCTTTCCATAAAAGAAATAAAAACTTCTGGAATTTAAACTTGAAATGAGACAACCTTGAAATTCTGGTTTGGTTAGAGGCTACTGTTTGAAAATTTAGTCAAGGTCTTCCAGAAGCATCAACTTGTCGTTAAATTTAAGTCCCCATTAAAAGGAGAGTTTGACAGCAGTTCTGATAGTGAAGCTCAGTCTGAGGACATCTTTACGGCTGGAAGGGAGGGAAAAAGTTGAGAAACCTCAAACCACTGTGGTAATTAGATGCATTTTTTTTAAACTTCTTTTCTAATGTTGGCAAAGGGAAGGAGAGAAATGGTTGATGGAAAGACTGGAATCAGGAAGGCAGTTCAGCAATCCCTATGGAAATCAGGCAAGTACAGGGTCCTGTGTAGGAGAGAATACTGGAAAATCCCCTACCTGACAAAGGAGTGAGATGGGGAAGTTATTTCAAGAACATTATCCGGTTTATGTCTCAACACACGCACAGAACCCCACAGTGTGTAGAAGTTGAATTCTGAATAGGTGTGCAGTGTGGTCTTATGGTCCTTTGGAAGCCATGCAGCCATGTGGGGAGTGGGCCTCCAGTGGCATGTGCTGGCCTGAAGAGGTGGGGTTCCACATGAGGGTGTCTTAACTTACACTTAGGTAGACACTTATTTACCCAAAGCATTTTGCGTTCTTTTCAATATGGGGTTCCTTTCTGACAGATTGCTACTGCCCTAGTCTAAGCCCTCTCATCATAATTGTCATTGTAGGCCAGTTAGCTTTGTGACTCTGGAAATCTTGTCACCAGTGGGAAATTCTCTTCCTACTTCATCTGACCTTCCTACCAAAATGGCACTATTTCCTCTTATTGGGTTTGCTTTCTATCCCGTAAGCTTTTTGTCCGTTGCTTCATTTCATTTTACTTTTTCTAGAATTATCACTGTAGAATCTTATTAAAGGTGAAAGAATACATTCTTATATAAAGCTCTTGTATTTCCCCTGAACCTTCAACTGCAGTACTGTTGCTGAACATTGATGGCAAGGTAGTGAAGCACCACTGTTAATAAATGAATAATGGATTTCTTAATTTAGCCTTGCATTTATAAGTATTCATTTATCATAATAGAACGATGTGGCTCTTTCAGGTTTTGTCTTGTTTTGCACTTAAAGCATAAGAAGAAAATAAACTCAACAAATACTGTATTTAAGACTCTTTGTAATAAGAGAATTAACCATCTTGTACAAATGTTCCTGATTCCCCCCCACACACTATATTTTAGAAATTTTATCTTCCACTTGGGTCACAGAGAATATCAAGGTCTTCATCACTGATTAGAAAGGACATAGAGGTACATGATTTTCTTTTATCTTCCCTTTCATTCCCAAGAATTAAATTGTGATTTAAACATCTCTCTACTCCCCTGAACTCTTGGTTGCCCATACAGTTCTTTCCTAGTCCTCTTCTCATTCCACAAGTCTCCCTGAGTGGTCCCATCCACTCCCATTGCATTTCTTTCCATATACATATATGCAGATAATTTCCATATCTGTATTTCCAGCTGAGAACTCTCCTCTGAACACAGACCCATCCATCCAACTACCTCTTGGATGTCTTTATTAGGATGTCCCAGAAGTATATCAAATTTAATGTGTTCAAAATCAAACCTGTTCTGTTTCATCCCAGGCCTACTTCTTCTCTATTTCTCACTTATTTTGTCAATGTAGAAACCCTAAAATTAACTCTCTCTTGCCTTATGCACACATCCAAGTTCAGTTGATTCTGGTTTAATACCAGCTTCTACACAATGTGGGGTTCTGTGCGTGTGTTGAGACACAAACCGGATAATGTTCTTGAAATAACTTCCCCATCTCACTCCATTGTCGGGGAGGGGATTTTCCAGTATTCTCTCCTACACAGAACCCTGTACTTGCCTGATTTCCATAGGGATTGCTGAACTGCCTTCCTGATTCCAGTCTTTCCGTCAACCTTTTCTCTCCTTCCCTTTGCCAACATTAGAAAAGAAGTTTAAAAAAAATGCATCTAATTACCACAGTGGTTTGAGGTTTCTCAACTTTTTCCCTCCCTTCCAGCCGTAAAGATGTCCTCAGACTGAGCTTCACTATCAGAACTGCTGTCAAACTCTCCTTTTAATGGGGACTTAAATTTAACATCAAGTTGATGCTTCTGGAAGACCTTGACTAAATTTTCAAACAGTAGCCTCTAACCAAACCAGAATTTCAAGGTTGTCTCATTTTGCCTTTTAAGTTTAAATTCCAGAAGTTTTTGTTTCTTTTTGGTGTGGGGCTTATATACTGTTATATATTTATTTATTTTTTTGCTTGCTAATGTTTTTTGTCCCTTTTTTCTTTTTTTTTATGTCATGTAACTTTGTGTTTTACTTTTTTGAGTTAACAGTTTAGATATGGGTAAATCAGGAAAAACACACAATAAATGTAACTAATGACTGCCTAATATTTTTTCATACAGCTATGCAAAAATTTGTTTACTCATTTCTTTTTTTCATAAACAATATTTTTTATTATGATATTGTGCGGTACACTTAAGGGTTAGGTATACAAATACGCTTTGTTCAGGCACCCTTGTTGATAAGAGGTGTCTCCCCATCCACATACAGATGTTTACTACCATTAATCCCATCCCCCTTCCCCTCCCTCCCCCCACATAGTTTCCCAACATTGTCAGTCATTTTCTTATGGTAATATGTTGGATGATCAAGGTCCACTATATGAGTGAGAACATGTGATACTCAGATCTCTGTTTCTGTGAGAGGTGACTAAGTATTATAGACTCTAATTCCATCCAGGTTGCTGCGAAATTCATGATTTTGTTCTTTTTTATGGCTGTGTAGTAATCCATCGTGTATATGTACGACATTTTTAAAATCCAGTCCTCTTTTGAAGGACAGCATGGTTGCTTCCAGGTTCTTGCTATTGTGAACAATGCTGCGATAAACATACGTGTGCAGGTATCTTTTTTATAGAGTGATTTGAGTTCTTTGGGGTATATTCCCAGTAGAGGGATTGCGGGGTCATATAGGAGGTCAATATTTAGAGCTTTTAGGAATCACCACACTGCTTTCCACAGAGGTTGCACTAGTTTACACTCCCACCAACAGTGTAGAAGTGTTCCCTTTTCGCCACACCCTCTCCAGCAACTGTTATTTTTTGAGTTGTTGATAATTGCCATTCTGACTGGAGTTAGGTGGTATCTCAGTGTGGTTTTGATTTGCATCTCCCTGATGATTAGTGAGGTTGAACATTTCTTCATGTGTCTGTTGGCTGCTCAGATGTCTTCCTTTGTGAAGTGTCTGTTCATATCTTTTACCCATTTTATAATGGGGTTGTTTTTTTCTTTACAGCACATTTGAGTTCCTTGTAGATCCAAGATGTTAAGCCTTTGTCAGACCTGGAGTTGGCATATACTTTTTCCCAGTCTGTAGGCTGTCTCCCTGCTCTCTTGATGGTTTCTTTGGTTTTGCAGAAGCTTGTCAGTTTAATGAGGTCCCACTTGTCTATCTTATCTCTTATGGTCTGTGGGTTTCAGGTTTTGTTCAGGAATTGGATGCCAGTTCCAATTTCTATGAGGGTATGTCCTTCATTTTCTAAGGTTCTTATGGTTTGAGGTTTTACATTTATGTCTCTGATCCATTTGGAGTTAATTGTTGTGTATGGGGATAGAAAGGGGACCTGCTTCAATCTTCTGCATGTGGTCAGCCAGTTTTCCTGCACCACTTACTGAATAGGTTCTCCTCTCCCCAGTGGTAGGTGGTGGAGGCTTTGTCAAAGATGAGTTGTTTGAGAAATTGAGGTTTTGCTTCTGGAATCTCAGTTCTTTTCCATTGATATATATGCCTGTTTCTATACCAATACCAAGCTGTTTTGATGATTGTAACTTATATAGTTCTTGTTTCTTTTATGCAAAGAATTAGAGAGGTTTGCTTGCAATGACCCTGAGTATCAATAAGACAGCAAAGTGTAACAAGCAAAACACCCTGCATGCTTTTAGATAGAAGAAATCCCTTAACTTATTAAAATTCTGTGAATTAAAGATTTTTCCCATTGTTTTATTCCATTCCCAGCTCATTCAAAATCTAAAACTATTCACGTGTATGACTCTATAATATTATAAAAAGTCCTAAAAAGTTTACTTAAAATCATCCTAGTGTTCTTTTTATATATATATAAAGATGTGGGGTACAATTCAGGGTTAGGTATACAAACATTGATTTTGCAGGTACCCTTGTTGATTAGGTATGGCCCTCCCTCCCCTACCACTCCTCACACTACTGCCAATTGCTTTCTTATAGTATTATAATTGTTCAAGTTCTGCTTATGAGTGAGAACATATGGTACTCTTCTTTGTTTCTGTGATAGATCACAGAGTATGATCGACTCTAAATCAATTCAAGTTCCTACAAAGTTCATGTTT